CCCCAAAACCCCAAAACCCCAAAACCCCATGATTCAAGTATTGTGGAAATAGTTAAAAGATAGGAATTTAATTATCATTTATCCTTTTGATTTATAGTTTACAATAATTTATCGACTAAAGGCGAAGGGGCGATCATTTCATAATTTCCAGGGTACATGGGCATCTATCCAAATTACCTGGGAACTTTACCATTTAAAATGTAGGTAATATCTCGATTCATTTGATTCATTTATTGCTATTAGCTATTTTATCTGTTGTTATATCTATTCACACCATTATGATACTCATTTAATCTCCTTAAAAGCACATCTGCTAATTTCTTACGATCAAAATCGACTGGATCAACTACACTTATTGTGTCTTTAATAAGTGCTCTTTTAATAACTTCGTCTAATTAAGAGTCAGTTGCTAAACTAGGAGAAGAATTAACCTCAATCAGCCAACACTTTTTCTTAGAATCAATAATGATATCATAACCATAGAGTTCAAAAGCACAGGGATTGTAAGGAATTTAGTTGTTGTATGAGCCAGCGATTAATGTCTTTAAAACAATCTCTTTAACTTAAGGCCATATCTCTGATTCCCAAGATACATATTTCTAATGTAAAGCTGATCTCAAATTACTTAGGGATAATTTAGAACCAGAACAGCCTGATTTAAAAGCAGAACCTATCCACCCATTAGATCTTGCATTGAAACCTTTTTCTCCAGAAGAATCAGTTTAAACTTAGACTCCAGCACTATTTTAAAGGTTTGAAGACATAAATTAGGTTTTCTGAACAGAGTAATTAGTTAAATGAATAAGTCTATTAGACATTTTAGATGGATCTAGTGAAAATGGAACGGTTGAAAATCTTGCTAATCCCTCTTTATAAATAAAGCATTCAAGGGGATTAAACGATGTTACTAGAACATAAATTCTCATGTCAAATTTATGTCCATTGAGTAAGAATGGGTTTTTAAGATATTTTTAGACTACAAGTGGTTCAATAGTTCTAAATGCTTCAGTATCATTTACAACATGTATACCTCTCCCTCTTGACTTTCCAGGAGGTTTTACTATCCAATAATTTAACTAAGGGCCATCCTCCTTTTCTGCTTGATGAAAAGATTACAAAAGCTGAGTGTATTCTTGTGGTAATATGAAAGTCATAGGAATTATGTCAAATAACTATTTCGATTTCTTACAAATTTTCTATACTTTTTCTATGTTCTTTTTTAGCAGATCTTTCCTGGTTATATTTTTATTTTCTGGATAGTGATTAAACCGCTGCCAAACTAATAAATTATCAAGTGAAGATTTTATCTTGGACCAAGTCCATAGCAAATTCCAGCTCTACGTCAATTCAACACCATGAGGCAGTTCTTTCCACTTATCACTAAATTATCTTCCAAAAACCAAAGTTATGATATCATATACTTCAGGTTTTTCCTTAACTACTCTAAAATATAGTTCTGCCTATCGATTAAGATCAATTAGCTAGTCTATTCTAAAATCTGGAGCCCTACTACCATTACTAGGAGAGGACACATTATGATTTGTATCAAAGGCACCAAAATTTTAGATCGAAAGATTTTATTTTAATTTTTGATATCTTTGTTTGATCTATACAGCTTAAATAGTCCTAGATTCCATACCTTAATTCCCTAATTACCCTCCTTAGATACCTTGAAAGTTTGATAGCTAGATATCATCGTTGTCTTGCAAATAGATTAATTGTGAAAATGTGGAATATAGCTTTTAGTTTTCAACAATAATCTATTTTAAATCCTTGATATTTCCAATGAAACTTTTCTAGCTTGAGTATTATCGATTCTAAATATGAGGTATCATGAAGATATCATAAAAGCTCTTATATAGCTATGAATAATCAATAACTCCAGAATCGAAAATAAACTATTGCGGATTAGGACATTTATTATGTAGACTAGCTGATGATTAGTTAGTTTTAGGTCTTATTTTGATATCTGATTAATTTCTTTCACTTTAATTAATAACTGGGCATGCAACATTTTATTAAAGAATATGTGTCAATTAATTTTTATTATTACCACCATTCTCAGGAAGGCTTTATCGTTGGTTTATTTGTTGAGATTTTAAATCTGCTCTACTCTTTATCCATTGGCCATCCTAAAATATAACTATCATCTTTTAATCTTAAGGTTCAGAAATTGGATTAGTCTAATAATTACTCTGTTTTTTAATGATAAGATCTATTGGCTAAGGTTGATACTACTTATGATCTTAAATAGTTGATCTTAGATGGCTTATTGTTTCACTCTAAAAATCATAGCTCTCAGGATCTTAACTATTATGATTATGTTTTTGTAAATCATTATACTTAGTTTTTTAGTTTAAACTATCAATTTATTCTAGGTAGCTTAGTTATTTTGATCTTCTATTTGTATTTTACTAAGAATGATAAAATTAATCAGCATCTGTTGAGAACTCAATTTGCCCAGTCAGCAGACTACTTCTTTTTGTGTTGATATCTGATTAATCATAAGATGCTGATTAGATACGATCCTCAATTGAGAGAGGGCTTTAAATCGTAGAAACTTGCAATAAATTCTAATCTTCTTTGCATGATAAAACTTCTAAAAGCAAATTAATTTACTTTGAGCTTCTCGATTCTTTGCTTATATCTAATCCCTCAATTATGTTTGATCAACTTGTGTCTTTATCGATAATATTTTTGATTTTGAGATGCTTATAGCTTTGATCTTTTTATATTATAATCTATTTGAATTGACTTTCATCCAATGAATTTTAATTAAGCTATAACTGTATATTCTTGTCAAAACTTGTGACTTGCTCGCTTTTTATAACATTATGAGTCATTTTTTATATACTTTAACTTTCATCATTTCGAAGGGATTATAAATCTTACCTTTGAATTTAACTCTACTTTTATGAAGTTGAATTTATTGCAGTATCTCGATCAGTTGTATTTTCTATTTTCTTTAATGGAGTAAAGATTTTATTAGGCCTCTTTCCTTAGTGAGTACTAGCTCTAAGATCTTAAGTTGCAAATTTTTTTAATATTTATTGTTTACTAGCATTATCAAAATTAGCTATTTTTGTACTTTCTCTCTAAGTGTCGATACTTTTGATATTCTTACTATGACTGGTTTTTCTAAGAGTTGAGGAGGTCTTATTGGACTAAGAAAGACTCTATTTGAAGGAATTAGATTGATTTGTGATTGATCTACTTTAAATTTCTCGAGATTAATTGTTTTATTGAGTTAAATATTATTATGAAGAATACAATGGGATTTCCTTGGCAAGTACTTTTGCTTTTATCTTAATATTGATATCAGATTTGACATTTTACAATGGGTTCCTCTTCTAGCTCTAAGATGTTTTTACTCTATTTTATTGAACACTAATTTTCCTGTCTTTCTCTTTTTCAGTTTGAAAATGATTGTTGCTAGTTTAATACACTTACATATTGTTAATCTTGGTAGATGCTAATGTATTTTTCATAAATTCAAAAATATTTCTTTTAGACCCAGCACGACTCATCGGAACTGTCTAGGTTTAAATCTATTATTATTGATATTTTATGCTATTCTGTTATTACTACTATTGGTCTGAAGCATAGTCATCCATAAATGGATTAACAATCTTACCTTCATTGAAAGTAACACCTTATCTAGAGTTATGTCTTAACTAAAGCAATACCAATTAATTTTTATTCTTGCTCTAAATAGGAGGTAGCCCAGGTAAGCTAGTTGATTGATAATTATGCTTGGTCTAACAAATTTAGTAATCATCTGTTTGAGCATTTAAATTGCTTCTTTGATAGTTTTCAGTCTAATTTTAATTTTATTATTTTCCAAATTCTTAAGAAAATTTATTGCCTTTTTACACTATAGATTGCTTGAGATAGTTTTCATATTAATCATCATCCCCTACAAGGGCATTTACTTCGCTTGTTTAGGTGAAGAAGTTAATTACATCGTCTATTTGCTTTCTTTCATGCAATTCTAATTTCACACATTCCATCAGCCTACCTAGTTTTCATTCATATTTCTCATGAAGATACTTGAACTCTAATCTTTCATTATTGCTATCAAGCTTCACATTTACTTCAATAATTTTCTGAAGAACCTATTCCAAATCAAATGAATCCATGTCATATATGTTCTCAACATAAGGAAGAGTATTAAAATAAGATTTGAGCTTATCATCATAGTCTTAGTACGATTTCAGTTATTGTTCAGACACTTCCATTATTCTAATATTTTAATCTAAACTTCTTTTAAGAAAATTATTCTTTAATATAGTTTCGAGGGGTTTTGGGGTTTTGGGGTTTTGGGG